GATATATCCAAGACGCTGACTAACACGGTGGTCGAGGGACTCGAATCCTGGCTGTACTCGGGTGTCAATTTATAGATTAGAGTCACATCGTCCCTTGGGCGACATATGATCGGTGGTTTGAGCCCGGGATCTTCAGATAATGTTTCAATCTTCCCATCTGATAACCGAAGTTCGGCTTTGTTAAATAACACATCGCAGTTAAGAAATGGAGTGACCTCAAAATCCAGACTTGCGATTGTCGTAGGTCGCCCAGAAAATGAGTTCAGTCGAGAGTACCGTATCCTGGCGCTGGCTGCAGGAACCACACGGATTGGATGACCTGATCGTTGCTGGACATTGTATATAGGATCTTCGCTGTATTGCGCAGGTACGACTCGTAGAAGCCTGGATGCTGGTAGGAAAGGGTCAATTTTGTTCAACGCTTTATCTGTTGACAAAGGTTGCAGGATATTTGTCGAAGCAGGAACCAGCGGAGGAAGATAGTCGTCGTCAGGAGACACTTGTTGCTGACTATCACTCTGATTGAGACTGGCTGAGGCTATGAAGATAAGCGAAGGGTGTTGGATCCGTACGCGAGGCCGTCCTGAATAGGTCAGTCAGTAAAACACGCAACTAGAGTGCCAGACATCGAGGAACTTACTGAGGAACGTCTCAATACTCCAGATCACATACACATGATTGCCGCTCCCTGCCTCCCCTTCAAACTCATTCACGACTACCAGTGGTTCCTCCTGTCCACTTACAACCCCTGAGAATATTTGGTCCCTCGTAGCTGTCGGATTCTCAGAGACTGCCTCGGCGGGGTCAATGGCAAAAACGTCAAGCTTAACTTCAAGGTTTGGAAGGTGATGTTTCAAGCTCGCCCGCGAGCAATCGGACAATCTGAGAACGACACACGCGGTGCAAAATTCATCTGTGATACTTTACATGAGTAAGAGACAGGAGTCCGATCAGGAGGTTGTCTTTCTGCATACCGAAGAACAGGAGTGACCGCTGAGGTATTAAGGATAGTACAGAAGATAGATCGTCGGCGCCTCCTTCCAAGGCTTTTGCCAGAGCAGCCTCCAGATCTATATTTGAAGCATGTGGGACGACTGTATCTAGCACAGCATGTCTCAGGAATTCTCCAGGGATATCAAGACACGGCATAACGAAAGCACATGCTCGCGCGTCACTTGCAACAATTGTCTCAAATAACTAGAAAGCCGAGAAACTCGAATAGATGTCGCTCAATTATTATTGTAGAGCTGAAGTGACCATTTTCCAGTGTTATTTAATGCCCGATTCTGGCAATGAATATGATAAGAGAGTGTTTAGGGACCCGATGCAAACATAACAAACCGCCTTCACTAGACAAGGGAAACTAACGGCAGAGCTTCACCCGTCAACTACATTTTCCGCGCATCAGGATCTTTATCCATTGCAGAGCAGCTTTCCTTCCTCGGGAACATTTGCTCATCAAACATCATGAATCCCATGACTGGACCAGCAGCTGCACCGCCTCTGTGGCAGGAGGCGCGCAATGCCGACGGCAGAGTGTATTATTACAATGTTCAGACCAAAGCTACGCAGTGGCAGAAGCCCGTCGAATTGATGACTCCTGTCGAGGTTTGTTTGCTATTCCGAGTCTCGCTGTGCTTATCTTTGTACTAATACTTTCCTTACGTTCACAGCGAGCTCTAGCCAATCAGCCATGGAAAGAATATACTGCTGAGGGTGGACGGAAATACTGGTACAACACGGAAACTAAGCAAAGCACTTGGGAGATGCCAGATGTTTACAAAAATGCTTTGGCGCAGGTTCAAGCACCTCAGCCCGCTCCTGTAGCGTAAGTAATCTCCTGTCGCTTAAATGTGCCGCCAGGGATTAACCAGTTTTTGCGCGCAGGGCCCCAACGTTTGTCGCAGGCGGAGTCAGCTCGTTTCCCTCACATCCACAACAGCGTGACCGCGACGATTATGACCGAGGCTATGGCGACCGGCGCGGTGGTTACGGCTCCATGGATGTCAATGGAATTTCGGCCGCTCCGGCACTGGGAACTGCGCAAGCGGAGCCAGAGTATAATTCCCTCGAAGAAGCTGAGAATGCTTTTATGAAGATGCTCAAGCGCCACAACGTTCAGGCTGACTGGTCATGGGAGCAGACGATGCGGGCGACTATCAAAGATCCTCAATACCGTGCTTTGAAGGACCCCAGAGACCGAAAGGCAGCTTTTGAGAAGTACGCGGCCGAGCTCCGCATGCAGGAGAAGGATCGAGCCAAGGAGAGATTTGCTAAGCTCAGAACCGACTTCAATACTATGCTGAAAAGCCATCCTGAGATCAAGCACTATAGCCGCTGGAAGACAATCCGCCCGATTATCGAAGGCGAGACGATCTTCAGGTCCACCAACGATGAGAACGAAAGGCGGCAGCTCTTCGAGGAATATATACTCGAACTGAAGAAGGAGCATGTGGATCGGGAGGCTGCGCGGCGCAGGGCTGCGCTCGATGAGCTGGTCAATATCTTGAATTCTTTGAACCTGGAGCCTTACACGCGGTGGTCGGAAGCACAGGCTATAATCCAGTCTAATGACAAGATTCAAAGCGATGATAAGTTCAAAACCCTGAGCAAGTCGGATATTTTGACCGCTTTTGAGAACCACATCAAGTCACTTGAGCGGGCATTCAATGATGCGCGTCAACAGCAGAAGGCAGCTAAGGCGAGAAAAGAACGCCATGCTCGTGAGAACTTCATCGAGCTCTTGAAGGAACTGAAAGCGCAAGGCAAGATCAAAGCTGGCAGCAAGTGGATGAACATCTACCCGTTGATTCATGAGGATCCACGCTACCTTGCAATGCTAGGTAACTCCGGTTCTACTCCCTTGGATCTTTTTTGGGACACGGTGGAAGAAGAGGAACGATCGCTGCGGGGGCCACGGAATGACGTGTTGGATGTTCTCGATGTGAGTTCCCTTACACCCTGTTTCCTTGAACGGGTTCACTAACATGTTGCTCTTAGGATAAACGCTATGAGGTCACGCCAAAGACCACGTTTGAAGAGTTTCAGTCTATCATGCTTTCCGACCGCCGCACGGCGGACCTCGATTCTGACATACTCCAGCTCCTCTTTGATCGCATCAAAGAGAAAGCTATCAGGAGAAGCGAGGAGGAAAAGCATGCCGCGGATCGTCATCAGCGACGTGCTATAGATGCCTTGCGCTCGCGGATGAAACGTCTAGAACCTCCTATACGCCCAACCGACACTTGGGACCAAGTGCGTCCGAGGATCGAGAAACTGGAGGAATACAAGGCGATTGAATCAGATGAGCTTCGCCAAGTGGCTTTTGACAAGTTCATCCGCCGGTTGAAGGAGAAAGAGGAGGACGTGGACAGGGAGCGGGAGCGCGATCGAGAAAGAGATCGCGGAAGTCGGCGAGAACATTACGATCGCGATCACCGTAGAGGCGAGAGACGAGGGCCTCCCAGTCGTCTCTCTCGCACACCTGAGCCCGACGCCTACGAAGCAGACCGTCGTAAAGCTCAGGCCGACCGCGAGCGGTCCTACAGAAAAGTCAGCGGCTTGTCTCCGATCCGCGAGAAGCGCGACGATCGGGACCGTGACAGGGATCGCGAGAGAGAGAAGGACCGAGACCGTTATCGCGATCGCGATTGGGATCGAGAGCGCAGCTCTCGGTCTCTGAGTCACTATGATCGTGAACGAAGGGATCGGGAAGAAGAGCGCGAAAGACTCTATCGCACTCGCGGTGATCCCCGTGGAAGTCGGGATGAGCTGGATTACGGTGCGGACACACGAAGCACCGTCAGCAACGACCGGAGGCGCCGGAGAGACAGCGATACAGAAAGCGTCGCCAGCCGCTCTGCGAAGCGCTACCGACGCGAAAGTCGCGAGCGAGACCGTAGCCGCGGTTCTAAGAGGGACAGGGAGCGTCAAGAACCAACTCCTGCCGCGGAGGAAGCCAAGAAAGAAGAAAAGGCTGTGCACTCGGGCAGCGAAGAGGGAGAAATCGAGGAGGACTAGTCGGTTGATGTACGTAGCTGTGCATTGGTAATCCTACAATACCTGGTTGGATTGGAGCTCGGCATTTCTATCTTGATGAGCTTGACTACATAGCGTATGTATCTGCGTCCATATGGGAGGCACAGGTCGTAGTCGTACTCTTTGAGTAGTTATGCCATGGATCGTATTTATGTTTCCCTGCTTGATACTACGCGATATAGCCGAGATATATATAAGTACCGCTGGTTGATGCGTGGGATACATGTCAATTCCAGGTTGAGCACTGAGAATGTTCAGGACGATTAGCATGAATAATATATTTAGCTGGCACTTCACCACTCATACTATCCAACACCATACCTGCAAGATAATCCCACTAGTCATTAATAGAAAAGAGTTAAACGGTGGAGTACCAAATAGCTTATATATGCTACCTGAGATCTATGACAGTGGCCACCTAACTTGACCATTTCCCAGCTACCTTTTGTCTTCACTGAATCTGAGAACATTTGGCCATGGGACCATCTATACATATCATAACATCATCGAAGAATTTTGAGAGACCCAACTCCGAATATGATCAATCACGCCAGCCAAGCACGCCAATACCCAGTAAAACCCATGTTGGCCCAAGTCGACTGCATTCTGCTTACAACGAAGATAGGATGACTGGACCAACAGGGTGCGCGGATATGGGGCATCAGAAGGGACGAAGATGGATGACGACATGTGAACACAGCGAAGTGTGAACCGGGAACAGATGAACCAACTGTCCCTACTCAGCATTGTCGTCGTCGTCGTCATCCTCCTCCTCCTCATCCGAAGCACCAGCTGCATCGCCAACGAGGCACACGCCACGGCTGCGGCGACGCGAGACCCCAGGAACGCCGAATAACGCCACTAAACGAAGGGTTTTCCATTGACGACGACGTCGCCGCTGGTCAGCGTCGCGACCATCGTCCCTGTGATGGTTGCGATTATGTTTGCCTGGGATGACCTTTTCAACTCTCTTCCTCCAAGAAGTACTAAAGGTGAAACATGTTAGCATGATTGTAAAATAAATTTGCACGGATTGGGTTCGGGTGACTTACGAAGTTGCCAGCCAACTTCTGCTCCTGGTCCATCTGACTGTTGTACTTGTTGATACGAGGACGGTAACTGTTGGGATCACGACGGAAGGTGACATCTAGGTTTCTCAAGAAAGTGTTGCAACCAGTGACCAGAGACTCGGGGGTATTGGCGTGCGCGTCAACAGACGGCTTGCCGTCAAAGACAATGACACGGTCAGCGAGATAGGTAGCCATGATGAAATCGTGCTCGACAATAAAAGCGGTCTTCTTGGTGTGCATGATGAAACGCTTGATGACTCTGGCAGCGACGATACGCTGTTCGGAGTCAAGGTAGGCGCTAGGCTCGTCGATCACGTAGATATCGGCCGGCATTCCGAGGGCAAGGACAATAGCAACACGTTGCAATTCACCACCAGACAGGTTCTGAACTTCCTGGTCGATGAAGTCATCGATCTTGAGGGGCTTGTAGACATCGGTCTGGAACTGAGGCGAAAGGAAAGCAGCCTTAATACGCTTGAAGAAGAGCTGACGCACGGTACCCTGGAACTTGGGTGTGATCTTCTGAGGCTTCATGCTGATGTGCATGCGGGGCATGCTGACGTTGCCGTCAGGCTTCTCGGCACCAGCGAGCATTCTACAGAAAGTAGTCTTGCCAGTTCCGTTCTCACCCATCATGACAATGATTTCGGAGTCGGTGAATGAACCAGAGTCGATCTTCAGGTGGAAATTGCCAAGAGTCTTCTCCATGCTCGGGTAGGTGAAAGCACGGGCCTTGTCAACCATGAAGTCATCACCAGCCTCAGCCAGACGGAAAGTCAGAGACTCCTCGCGGAACCGAAGGTTCTCGGTAGGGATGTGACCATCCAGGAAGATATTGATACCTTCACGGACAGAAGAAGGAAGTGTAACCACACCGTAGACAGCAGGTCTACCGTAGAGCACACAGACGAAGTCGGAAAGGTAGTCAAGGACGGACAAATCGTGCTCGACAACAATGACGTAGTCATCAGGGCGCAGAAGCTCACGAATAGAGCGGGCTGCCGCCAAACGCTGTTTAACATCGAGGTAGGAAGACGGCTCGTCAAACATGTACCTACAGTTTTCCATTAGTGAGAGCGGGATGGGAGCATTTCGCGGTAGTCCTTACACGTCGGCCTTTTGCACACAAACAAGACCAATAGCGAAACGTTGAAGTTCACCACCAGACAAGTGGTCAATGTCGCGGTCCTGTACCTGTCTAAGTTCTACAAAACAAGTCAGTTTCGATGACTTAAAGGTTATGTTCATCCAAAGGCCATACCAAGAGCATCCATGATGCGCTCCATGTTGTCCATCTGAGAGCGAGCCTTGATGAGGTCCCCAACGTTCTTGACTGGGCCCTTCACAGCCCGAGGAATCTGGTCGACATACTGGGGCTTCACCACGGCCTTCAGATTGTCTTCCAGGACCTTGGTAAAGTAGTCTATGAAAGTTAGAAACCATAGAACAGTTCTCCAGAACCTTTGTGATTCGGCAGTATACGTACTCTGCAGCTCCGAACCACGGAAATATCTCAAAATCTCTTCCCAATCGGGAGGGTTGTCGTAGCGTCCGAGATTGGGCTTCAGCTTGCCGCTAAGAATCTTCAAAGCGGTACTCTTTCCGATACCGTTTGTTCCAACAAGACCAAGGACCTGACCGGGACGAGGCATAGGAAGACGGTGAAGCTTGAAGCTGTTGGCCGAATAACGGTGGGTGACCTCGGTTTCCAAGTTTGTGGGCAAGTTGATAATGTGGATGGCACCGAAAGGACATTTCTTAGGACAGATACCGCAACCGATGCAAAGGCGTTCCGAGATGAAGGCGATCTTGGATTCCGGCGTCACTTCAATACAGAGCTTTCCGGTACGGACGACGGGGCAAGACTTTTTACACTCTTGGCGACATTTCTATGACGATCAGCCATGCTGTAGATATGAGAGCACGATCTCGATTTCAATCATACCTTCGGTTTGCACTGTAGGACAGAAAGTATCAGGGTAAGCAAATGCGACGCGGCCACGATATAGCATCTCGCGGGTGAACGAAGTAACTCACTTTGTCACTATTGACAATAGCAATACTATATAGAAGCAATTAGTACTCAGTTCCTAAGCATACCAAAGATTTCAGAAACCAGACTCACCGAGTAAGCTTGTCAGACATGATGCCGAAGTATCAGCTTAAAAGCACACGCAGGCAGATAATCAACAGAGGCAGATCTCCTCGACCAGCAAGATATAGAAGCGAGTATAGCTCTGACGTGACCTCTAGCAGATGCGTAGATGACGTCGCGACAGCTGTCCTGACTGAATTGATAAAAAAGAGCCAGAAACCCGGACAATAAAAGCTGACAACGAGCCACCAGGTATGAATGCAAGCGGAGAGGAGCGAGGTTTCTTTATGGAGGCGTCGAAAATGAGGGGCTCTCAATGGGGGGGACAGAAAACTATGTCAGGCATTGTGGGCACATTGTTGATGCCTCAGGCCACGAGTCGGTTTCTTTTAGGTTGAGTACCTCAGGCTCTACATATTATTATTTTCCCTAGCTGGTGATTGGCCCTCGGTCTGTCCCTCAAAAAATTTCTCTACTGAAGCTGGTCCAGGCTGGAAAATTACTGCGCCGTCCTCCGAAGCTGTGAATTTCTACCCGCCGGTGACACTCGGCCACGTGATGTCGAAGGTGCCGCCATGCCTGTTGGGGACTCGCTTGTGGGCTCACTAAACTGTATATGGTATGGACTGGTCTTGCAGCCTTGAGTCTCAGGCCGCAAAGCTATCTCTTCACTGCGACTCGTCCACCTCCCAGCCCGCAGCCCGGCGGCCAACCTTACCTCTCTTTCTTACTCCCTCATCATATTATTCTCCCATCCGTATCTGGTGTTGTTCGCTCTCTCTCCACCACCCACTTTATCATTCTTTCTCCAACACCAACCTATCAATCCCTATTGATTCAACATTGTCTCGTACGTTCATCCCTTTTTCGGGGTCACCTCGCTATGAATTGTGAGTATTTCCTTTTCTTCTCCTAGCTTTACAGCCCGTGTCCTGGTTCTGTTCGCTGGGGTACTTCTCCACGTTATCGACCCACCGATCTGAAGAATATCGTTGCATCTTTCTGTCCTCATGTCTCTCTGAATCCTCTGAGTTGTCTGGGCTGTCGGTCGGCTCCGATCCTCGTTTTTTGATTGACGCTTGCCCTCCTCTTTCATCGTCATTTCCTCCATCCTTCCTGTCGCATTCCATCCAATCCGCCATCCAAATCATGTCCTGGCATCATACCTTGTCTCCTGTCGGCTGTCCGAGGCTTCCTAGCTTCTATTTGCTGGAAATCGAGTCGCGTAGTGCTGCTCTACACATGCCTGTGCCTTTCGTGCCGCTCCGACCCCGAATCAAGCTTCAATGCTGACTTTTCTCTTCATCAACAGCCACTAGCATGGTGATCCCCTCACCCTCCGATAATATTGCCAACATGGCATTGTCTAACGGCCTTTCTCCCTCCCTCACCTCGAATTCTCCAGCCGTGAACGGCGAACTGGCTGATAACAATGCCGGTTACAACCTCTCCGAACAATCAAACAATTTCACATCGTCAGAGTCATCGCCCGATGCGGAGATGGAGGATGAGTCGTATCATAGCGGCTCTCCTGATGCTGAGGGGGTTGGCAGTTACTCTGCTACAGATAGTAGCGAGAAAGGTAGCAGCCCATCCAGCATCGGAAACTCCTCGTCATCAGAGATCAAGCGTGGCATCAAACGTAAATCGTCGTCTCTGAGTGAATCAGACTTCATCAGACAGAATCCAGATTTGTATGGTCTTCGCCGTAGCGGACGAGCTCGGACAACACGCCAGGTTGTTCAATCCACCTCCTCAGAGTCGGAGTCGGTCGCTAGGGTCTCACGCACCAAGCGTCGACGCCCGGTAGCCTCTCAGCGGTCCTCGAAGCGTCCATCCCCTCCAGCCAGTCAATCTTCCTACTCCGCGGAGTCAGACGATGACGAGTATGGCGGACCTTCTCGTATGAGTAAGGCGAAACGTCGTCGTATGCTGCAGCCAGCGTCGAACAGAGAACCTTCACATGCTGAGATCCGGTTCTCGACGCGGACTGCGTCTCGTCGTGTCTCCAATTACAATGAAGACGATGATGATGACATGTTCTTGGATGAACCTGACGAAGTTCTGGACAACTATCAGGCAAACACTGTTGAAGACGACCGTCCAGCTGTAGATGTCGTGCTAAACCATCGCCCCAAAGAGGGGGTCAGCCCAGGTGACAACGATGTTGATGAGCACTCCTTTGAATTTTACATCAAATGGCAGGGGAAATCACATTACCATGCCACATGGGAGACTTACAAATCCCTCATCGATAACTGCCGCGGCACACGCAGAGTTGATAACTACATTCGCAAGGTGCTATCTGAAGAGCTACGTATGAACCATGACGGCGATGCCCTTCCCGAGGAGCGTGAAAAGTGGAACCTCGACCGTGAAAGAGATGTCGAGGCCATTGAAGACTACAAACTGGTTGAAAGGGTGATCGCCATGCGGGATGGTGATGAGGGAACAGAGTACCTCGTCAAATGGAAGCGGCTATTTTACGACTCTTGTACCTGGGAGAGCGAAAGTCTCGTCAGCGAGATTGCTCAACGCGAGGTCGATCGCTTCTTGGACCGTTCCTCTCATCCACCCTTGTCAGACAAGACCGAGATGAACCCTGCCACCCGCAAGCCCTTCGAACCAATCAAAGGCACACCGAGCTTTTTGCAGAACGGCGAACTGAAAGATTTCCAAGTCAAGGGAGTTAACTTCATGGCATTTAACTGGGTCAAGAACCGTAACGTCGTTCTCGCTGACGAGATGGGATTGGGTAAAACTGTTCAGACGGTCGCTTTCATCGCGTGGCTGCGTCATGTCAGACGCCAGCAGGGGCCTTTCATCGTCGTCGTACCCCTCTCGACTATGCCATCCTGGGCTGAAACCTTTGACAATTGGTCCCCTGATCTGAACTATGTGGTCTACAATGGCAACGAGGCCGCACGCACAATGCTCAAAGATTATGAACTCATGATCGACGGGAATCCCAGACGTGCAAAGTTCAACGTGCTCCTCACTACCTACGAGTATGTGCTGCAGGACTCGACTTTCCTGAGCCAGTTCAAGTGGCAGTTCATGGCCGTCGACGAAGCTCATCGCTTGAAGAATCGTGATTCGCAGTTGTATCAGAAGCTGCTGGAATTCAGATCCCCCGCTCGTCTTCTCATTACTGGAACTCCTATTCAGAACAATCTCGCTGAGCTGTCCGCACTCATGGACTTCTTGAATCCTGGCGTGATAGATGTGGACGTGGATATGGACCTCAATGCTGAAGCGGCTTCTCAGAAATTAGCTGCTTTGACTAACGCCATCCAACCTTACATGCTTCGCCGCACAAAGTCGAAGGTCGAGTCTGACCTTCCTCCTAAAACGGAGAAGATCATTCGCGTTGAGCTTTCAGACGTGCAGCTGGAGTATTACAAAAACATTCTTACAAAGAATTACGCCGCTTTGAATGATGGTGCACAGGGTCAAAAACAGTCACTTTTGAACATCATGATGGAATTGAAGAAGGCTAGCAATCACCCATTCATGTTCCCCAATGCTGAAGCAAAGATACTTGATGGAAGCACGCGTCGTGAGGACGTATTGAGGGCACTCATCACAAGCAGCGGGAAGATGATGCTTCTCGACCAGCTGTTGGCCAAGCTGAAACGAGATGGTCACCGTGTTTTGATTTTCAGCCAGATGGTGAGAATGCTTGACCTGCTCGGCGATTATATGGAGTCTCGTGGCTACTCGTATCAACGTTTGGACGGAACTATTCCTGCTGCTTCGCGCCGCCTGGCTATTGAGCATTTCAATGCGCCCGGCAGTAGCGATTTTTGCTTCCTTCTGTCTACTCGTGCAGGTGGTCTAGGTATCAACCTGATGACTGCTGATACTGTCATTCTGTTCGACTCAGACTGGAATCCGCAAGCTGATCTTCAGGCAATGGCCCGAGCACATCGAATTGGTCAGACCAGACCAGTCAGCGTATATCGTCTTGTTTCTAAAGATACCGTTGAAGAAGAAGTTATCGAGCGAGCTCGCAACAAGTTGCTGCTCGAGTTCATCACTATTCAAAGGGGCGTCACTGATAAGGAAGCCTCGGAGATCCAGAACAAGATGGCCCGGAGTGGCATTTCCGTTAGCGAACCGAATTCCACTGAGGACATTTCACGTATTCTCAAACGCCGCGGTCAGAAGATGTTCGAACAGACTGGAAACCAGCAGAAATTGGAACAGCTCGACATCGATTCGGTGCTGGCCAACGCAGAATTACACCAGACAGAACAGGCCGAAGGTATTCAAGCGGACGGTGGCGAGGAATTCCTAAAAGCATTTGACTTCGTTGACATCAAAGTCGACGATCTTACTTGGGACGATATCATCCCCAAGGACCAGTTGGACGAAATTAAAGCTGAGGAAAAGCGCAAGGCGGACGAACGGTACCTCGCCGAACAGATCGAGATGAGTCGACCTCGAAAACGCAATGTTCCCGCTGATGGACAGGACACTCGCGAAGAAAGAAAGGCTAAGCGACGGGCCAGAGCTCAGGTTACAGTCGACGAGGGGGACAGCTCTGACGAAAGTCGTCCCCACCTGGACCCCAAACGTCCCCTTAACCATAAAGAGATCCGCCATCTTTACCGGGCCCTCGTACGTTATGGAGACATCAATGAGCGCACGGAAGAATTCTTGCGGGAAGCCCGTCTTATGGATAGGGACAGGGAAACTATTGTTGCCGTTCTGCGGGAAATGTCTGATATGGCTGCGAAGCTGATCCGAGAAGACGATGCTAAGATGGAGGCACTGGAAAAGGCAGGCAAGATGGTAACGAAGAAGGAGAGGAAGGCCGTCTTGTTCGATTTCAAAGGCGCTAACCGTTTGAATGCTCACCACATCGTGGATCGTCCGAGAGACTTGCGCATTCTGAGGCAGGTCACCTCATCCGTTGCTGACGTCAAGAGCTTTCGCATTCCGGAAGCAACAAAGGCCGCGGATTATTCATGCTCGTGGGGCGCGCGCGAAGACGGCATGTTGTGCGTCGGTGTCGCCCGCCATGGATGGGGTGCCTGGAGCCAGA